TGCTTAGAAATTGGTGATCAGAAACAACAAATACATGTCAAGGATGTCAAATCCGTATATTATTCTGAGCTTCAAACAGATGTCATTTAAAAAAAACCCTCAAATGTGGCAAGTCTACAAAGTTAAAGTGTTCCTGAAAAGACTGGCAAAGAGAGTCCGGGAACGGTCAGGGCAGCATGGCGTTCCATTAATGTTTATGTTTGGCTGTCATTCTCTACAAATGAAGGTTGATCCAGTTCTCTCTTCCAGGCTGTGTATAATTTGGCAAATGACAGAAACAACATTTGCTTCTAATCACTCATCCATCTTAATAATGTTGAACAGATACAGAGCAGAAACCATTGCACAACCACCAGCATTTCATGACATAGGAGTCTCTGCCAGTTTGAAGAAGTCCCTGAATCCAGGGAGAGTTACATTTTTATGTTTTCGATCATGATCTTCTTGGAAGATACTTATTAGGGCCATTTGTTGACAACATTAAGAATTAACAAATTATGTTCTTAAAGCATAAAATGTTTAATGGTTTCATTAGAGAACTATAAACTCTGTTACTTAAGAGAGAAATATGCTGTTTGGAAGCAAGAAGGATTTACTGAAGGACTCTTCAGTTTCTAATCTCTAGAACTGAAGCAAATCTCAGCTATTGTGGTCAAAAGCATAAACAGTAAAAAAGAAGAGGAAAATCTTCATGTGTTGGATGCCAACCAAGCCCCTGACACCTAAGAAAGCTATCAGCTATGTGAATGCATTGAATTGACATTTTTAAAGTTAAAAAAGAAATGTGAATTATTGTAAGAAGTTCTACTTTGTCCCCAAGCCGGGAAAGAGGCCATTTTTGCTGTTCAGGGCCCGGTATGGGAAAATAGCAGTGCTTGTCACCAGCTGGGTCACTCTCAGTTCCTTGCAGACCCTTCTTTCTAAGCAGAATCCTGTTTGCTGCCCTCGATAGCAATATCTGCCACTGCAGCAGTGAGAGAAGGCGATGCCACATCCCGCTGTAGTGGGCTGCGCTGCTCACTCAGTATGTCGAAGTGAAGTGAAACGGTCTAAGATGCTCGAATCCAGGTCCCTCGGGAGAGTGTCCTCTAGCAAAGGGCAATTCTGGGTGGTGAGGGGAGACAAGTTCTTAGCAGTGGAAGAAGCAATTTCCAGTGTGGGTAATCTGCTGACCCTTGTAGTAAGAGTGAATTGAGACAATTATCTGAACAGTTCAACTAAATTCAGGCCAGAATATGTTTGGGTCTGAACTCTCCGGATAATTGTGTTGCAGTGGAAAGAATGCTGAACTGCAAGTAAGTTGGAACCTCTGGGTTCCAGACCCACATTTGGGTTTCTGGCTGGGTGCAGTGGCTTATGCCTATAATCAATCCTAGCACTTTGGGAGGCTGAGGTAGGAGGATCACTTGAGGCCAGGAGTTAGAGACCAGCCTGAGCAATAAAAAAAAAAAAAAATAGTGGGGCCTGGCAGTGAGTGCCCACAGCATAGTCCCAGCTACCCAGGAGGCTGAAGCAGGAGGATCACTTGAGCCCAGGAGTTTGAGGTTGCTGTGAGCTATGATGATGCCACTGGGCTCTAGTCTGGGTGACAGAGAGAGGCCTATCTCAAAAACAATTTTTTTTTCTAATTTAAGGTTTCTTACTTAGCTTGAAAGTATGTGAGTCTATCCAAGAGACTAAAGAATTTAGCTTTGTATTTTGTGTGTGAACACATGTTCCCTGAGGCAGAAAAATGTCAAGTTTGTAAAACTGTGCAACAGTGGAAGCAGAGTGGGCACAGGTGATTCTCCGTAGGATGAATCGCTTCCAGATCAGCCAGGGCAACCGTAGGGGTGTCCCTAGGAGAACCCACCTTGATCTGCTGGGGGTGGGGAGTTTCTGCCTTTTCTTTTTGGAGGGGAATTCATATGGGATCAAGAATCTGAGGCACAATTCTAGAAGAAGAGGCCTTCGTTAGGCTGCTTATGCTTAAGCTGAGGGGCTTGGAGTCAAACATCCCAGTGCCGGCGGAAGCTCTTCCCGGCTCTGGCTGACCCGCTGACCGCAGAGCCCGGGAGAGCCGCGGCTTCCCTTGGCTGGTAACCAGCACGTTCACCAGGAGCCCCAGCTTCTTGTCAACGAGAACAGTGCTCTGCTGCAGAAAGCGAGCTTTAGGCTGAGGAGACTGATCACAACGTGTGCGCTGCTGCCCAGAGATGTTTTCAGTCCCCAAAGGCAGCGCTGTGGTCCCTGGCTGCTGAGAGGGCCGGCAGAGCAGACCAGGCAGGTCTCCTCACCGGAAACAGAGGCTGGGCTGGGAAGGGTGTCATGGCTGGGAAATTTTCTCCACCCATTTGTCCTCCCGGGCCTGGTAGGTTTTTCTAGGGGGTGGAAGGGAACCGTGGCCGCAAGGCGCCCACAGGGCGAGCTGGCTGCGACTGTGGGGGTCCTGGAGTGGGGTTCTCTGAAAACTGAACCACCGAGCACCCACCCACAGCTCCTGCTCCAGGCAGGACTGACAGGTGTCAAAGGGCGTTTCCCAAAACCAAACAGACCTCTCACCCTCACCCCGCAGTCCTGCATCCCCGCGGTGGCCCAGGGTCAGCTCCGTTGCCCCCTTCCTGGTGTTTGCACAGCTGGGCCATGGCCAGGCTGGGAAGGGCACTGTGATCTGGGAAGGGGCGGGCTGGAGGAGGGGGCTGGAGGAGGGGGCTGGAGGGGCGGGCTGGAGGAGGGGGCTGGAGGAAGGAGCTGGAGGAAGAGCTGGAGGAGGGGCTGGAGGGCGGCTGGAGGAGGGTGCTGGAGGGGCGGGCTGGAGGAGGGGCTGGAGGCGGGCTGGAGGGGGGCTGGAGGATGGGCTGAGGAGGGGGAGGAGCTGGAGGGGCAGGGCGGAGGGCTGGAGGAGTGGGCTGGAGGGGCGGCTGGAGGAGGGGCTGGAGGGCGGGCTGGAGGAGGGTGCTGGAGGGGCGGGCTGGAGGAGGGGGCTGGAGGAGGGGCTGGAGGGGCGGGCTGGAGGAGGGGCGGGCAGGGGCTGGGGGAGGGACGCGCTCTGCCCTTGGCCGAGGGGCCACGTGGGCGCGTCGGGGCCTGCTGGCCCAGACGCTCAGAGCCCCGAGCATTCCTCTGGCGCCAGGGAGGAGTCCGGTTTTCTGAACGGATACTGGAAGGGACTGTGTTTGGCGGCCTAGGGAGGTCGCACGGCTGAGACTCCTGCCTAAGGCCTGGCTCCTGCGAGCCAGACCGAGCCTCAGCTCCCATCCGCCGCGACGCGCAGTTCCCGCGGAATCCTAGCGTCACCTGAGCATTATAAAAGCGCCTGTGCACCTTTTCGCGTTCACCGAGGGGACACGAGCCTGAGCTGTCGCCGTCCTCTGAGCGGCCTCGGGCCCAGCACCTCGGAACTGGAACTCCCGCCGAGGCGCGAGGAGGGGCGGGGAGGGGCAACAGCGAGCGACCGTCCTTGGGGGCGGCCGGGCCTGGGCTAGTCCTTCAGCCCTAACAGGGGCGCGAGGCTCCGGGCTCTGCATTTTCTAGAAACCCTTACAGTCCTGGGGAGACAGAGCAGGGCACCAGAAGCCAGGGAAGGGCCCGGAGTCTGCCAGGCTCCACGGTTTAGGATGGAAGATTTCTATTTTGAGGGGAGAGAAAAACACCTGTGATTTATAAAACACCACCTTTCTCTTTTCCTCTTTTACGTAGCGGTTTCTGTGTTCTTCTATCTGAATAAATTAGAAGCAGGACTGTCTTCACATATCTATGTATAAATGAAAATAGTGGCTTCTTCGCCTTTGGAGGCCAGGCACATGGCTGGGAAGAAAAGGCGCGCTGCGGCCCGCGCCAGCCCTCGGTCTGAGCGCGTCCCGGGAAAGCGGTCAGTCCGACCGTTTCAGCCCAGCCAGCCTGCCGTCCCTCCCTCCAGCCGCTGGCGTGTCTGTTTTGAGACCTAATTATTGGCCCTGTGGGTGCAAATGTCCACCTTTTGTCATAATTCAACCCTATTATTACTATTCTTTACGACTACTAAGTAGATATAAGCCAAATCAGTCGAGACTTGTTATTTGTTTACTAGACTTAGGGCGATCTTCTCTGCCCCATTCCTGCCAAAATGCAGCACTCTGAAATAAGCTCCACGCTCTTTCCCCACCTCATTATGTGTAGAACTCAAATCATCCTCCTGTCTTGGATCTGTGGGGTTTACCCAAGAATGGCAGAGACGACACTGAGGCCTGAGTTTCCAGTCTCTGAATTGCTCGCAGTTGGCATTACTCTCTGGAATTTTGCAATCCATGCTTTGTTGGAGCCCACTGCTTTGAACTTACTGAGAAACAGGCGTCTACACTATTTTCTGTGGTTACACTGATGGAAGCTTCCCTTACATTTTCAGTGTGGGAAATCGCTTCCTCTTCCTCTACAAGAGGCATTTTCTCTTCAGACCTCCAGTGAAACAGGCAGGGCGTCTCCACCTTCACAAATGAGCAAGGTGAAAAAAAAGTGCTACAGATTGGTTCACACCCAACTGAATTTTTGCATTCCTACAACAGTGGGTGGTTTTGTTTTGACAAAAACATTGACATTCAAGTTGCTCTTAAAACTGCTCTGAAGTCTTCTTTGTTGTGTTGAGATAGTCTTTCCACAAGATCAACTTTCTAGCTTTTTGAGCCCCAAATCTGAACCAATTTACCTGAAAACGTCTACTTGCCCACAGGCTTGTCGAGAGCTTAGCTTGCCTGCCAAAGGGTGCTTGAGGGACAGGGGGACACTCACCTTATCATTTTTTCCTGGCAATTCATAGGTGAATAATTACAGAGGTAACTGGTTTCCAGTTTAAGAAATCCCACTAATGGAAGTCGTATTCTGGAAATTTGTACAGCAATGTATCTGGTAAGGAAACCTGCAGGCCCATTCTACTTTTATTAAATTATTCAGGAAAATATTTTGATCCCCAAAGGAAGTTTCTTGAGACCCAAACCTGAACTCATATTTTGGGGTGAGGTAAAAACTCTCCACCTCCAATCTATCACCACAAAGTGTTTAAATCAGTTGTAACTTTTATTAAAAAATAAGCACTATGCTTGAGTTTCATAAAATTCATACATGAATATGTACACAGACACAAATAAAATAATATTAAAAATAAAAATCACACTTGCTTTCCAGTGGCAGTGGTCCTGGCACCCCCGACACATAATGCTAACGTTTCCTTTAAAGAGATTACTTGGTCCAAGGAGACCACAGTTGGAGAACCACTAATAAAGCTGTAGCCCGTTGCCTGCAACATTTTCAACTCAGGTCTCAAAAAACATATAAATAATTTAATTACAAAACCCAACCACATCTTTTTCCCGTTTGGCACAGTGAAGCAATGGTCGATAGCAGAGAAATGACCCAAGATGCTCTGACACCTTTCTCACACTCAGTCATACTTGTAAATGCCACGTACGTACACGGAGGGGCCTGGTAAAGCCCAAACAGTAGTCGTATCATTTATCTTATGGAATGGTTCCCTGATGTACTTTTTGGGGAGGAGGGGGATAAATCAATGAAAGGTGCGACAAAAATAGTAGGAATAAAGGGATCTTGGGCGATAAGGAGAGAGAAAAATCTTTATGAAGGGAGGGAGGAACAGGCTTGGCCAAGAAACTAAAACAATTAAGAACTGCTTTGGTCCTCTGTAAAGCTATAAGTTGAAGGAAAACATTCTGGACTAAGTTAAAACATTTCTGTCAAAATGCTTTAGCTTTAAGGCACGTTTGATGGAGATTTTTCTAAAAGTCCCTTTTCCTCTGTATCGAAAGTGCAAAGCCCGGCCTGCCTCCCCGCTCCCAGACGGCGCGCCCCCGACTCCGGCCGGCGGGGCTCAGGCCAGGAGCGTCTCCGCGGGGTAGGGCAGGTGCGGGCCGGGGCCGCGGGCCGAGGCCGCCTGCAGGGCCGCGGGCAGCCGCAGGGGGCAGTACAGGTGCGCGCCCCCGCCGGGCGCCGCCGGCAGGAGCGCAGGGTACGCGGGCAGCGGCGGGCAGGGCTCGGCGCCCCACCGCAGCTGCGCCCCGGGGGCCGCGTCCCGGTCGTGGCGGCTGCGGAAGGGCTGGCTGAGGATGCTGTCGATGGCGAAGGAGCTGGAGAACTTGCCCGCGGGGCTGGCGCGCTCCTCCTGGCCGGCGGGCGAGCGCGCGCGCGGCGAGGCCCGGCCGGCGGGCGCAGGCGGCAGGGGCGCGGCGGCGGGCTGGGCCGAGGCTGCTTCGGGCCGCAGCCCGGGCGCGGGGGCCGTCGCCCGGTGGCTCAGGCGCTTGCGGCGGCGGCGGAAGACCCCGTCGGCGAAGGTGTATTCGCTGTTGGGGTTGAGCATCCAGTAGTTGTCCTTGCCCCAGGGCCGCGAGGGGTCGCGCAGCACCTTGACGAAGCAGTCGTTGAGCGAGAGGTTGTGGCGCACCGAGTTGCGCCAGCCCGTGTAGCTGCCGCGGAAAAAGGGGAACTTGCCCATGAGGTACTCGTTGATCTCGGCCAGCGTCAACCGCCCGCCGGCGGAGTCGCGGATGGCCATGGCGATGAGCGCGATGTACGAGTACGGGGGCTTGGGCCGCCGCGTGTACGGCTTGCTGCGCGCGCCCTCGCCGCCCCCAGCGCGGGGCCCGGCCGCCGCGCCCGCCTCCGCCGCCGCAGCGGGGCCCTCCTCCCCTGCGCCCGGCCCGCCGCCCGCGCTCTGCTCGCTACAGGCCGCCGGATCCTCGGCGCCGCCGCCCGCTGCCGGGCTGTTGGCCGCGCAGTCCCCGTCGGAGCCCAGGGAGTCGTCCCCGGCCGACAGCGGAGACGGCACGTCGCTGCCGCCCGCGCCCTCCAGGTCGCTGCCCGGCTTGTTCCCGTGGGCCGCGCGCGGGGCGAACACCTCCAACTTCATGCCCGCGCGCCCAGTCCCCGCCCGGCGCCGTACCCTTCTCGTTCGCGCGGTCTCGGCAGGCGCCGGGGACTGGGCTGGCGATCCCAGGGCCGGGGCGCCTTGACTTTCTCTCTCGGGAGCTTTCCCTGGTCTTGCGAGACAGTCGCTTTTCCGTAGAAGAGTCGTCTTCCGCTAGAAGTTCTCTTTGGAGGGCCTGTGCGTGTTGGGTGGACGGAGAGGAGCGGAGAGGGAAGAGTGGGGCGGGTGCCACCTGCAGTTCGGGTATCAGAGACTTTTCGGTGACTTGAGGGTGGCTGCGGTTCCACCTTCTGGTGCCCGAGCGCGCCGGGCTTAGGATTTCCTGCGGGAGGGAAGAAGCGTTCGCATCTGCTATTCGTTAAAAGAGCCCAGGAGGGGTTCTTCGCTGGCAGTCCCAGGTCCCGTGCGGGCGTCCTCGGGCACGGCAACAGTGCTGGATGCTGTGCGTGCCTTGGCTGGGGAAAGGTCCAGCGCCTTTAACCCTGAGCACCCTCGGAGCCCAGTCCTCGTGGCCGCTGCGCCCGCAGCCGCCTTCCCGCCCCCAGCCTCCGGGGCAGCATTTCCGCGCTGGCCAGCCGCGGCTGCGTGTCGCCTCCACCTTCGGCCCGGCCCAATATAACCCTGCGGCAGCACCGTGGGGGCGGAGCCTGGGCGGCGACGGCAAGCGGTTGGCTGAACGAGGTGGCCGAGGTGGCCGCGGCTCCCACGCGGGCGCGCACCAGGCCGAGGCCAGGCTGCGGCGCGGCGGCGAAGTCGCTCCGCGCAGGTGTTTGTTTTGGGTCTGCCATCCCCGCCCTCCTCCTCCCGCCAATGGCGAGCGCGCGCGCCTGGACTGTCCGCGTCTCTGCGAGTGTCCGTGTGCGCGCGCGGGGCGGCCCCGCCCGCCCGCTCCTCCGCTCAGGTGAGAGCGCCCCGCCCCTGGTCACCCGGGGTCCCCGCGCCCTGGCGTTGGGGAGGCGATTTGGGCGAGTGCGCCTGGCACAGGAAAACTCCATGGTGCCCCTAGGGGGCCACCTGAAAGGCCTGGGCCCGAGCGGCGCGGGCCTCCCTCGCCTCTCCAGCAGTGAGACGGTGCTTCCTAGGAGCCCACACCTCCCTGGTCTCTGCCAGGTGCTGAACAGCGGGACCCGCGCCGGACGTACTTGGCAGTGACCTCTTTAGGGAGCCGGGAGCTGTGCCCCTTCGTATTTTCATTTCAAATACTTATCTTTGTTTTCTAAAATACTGAGATTGAAATTGTGCACGCCTTTTTGGATGACCTTGACTCTTGCTCACTTAATGGGCTCTGACTTTTACTTTTCTTTTGTCTTACTTTACCTGCCTGGTGGCCCCCGGAGCAGGGCAGCAGCGTCCCCCTCTTCCCGTGGGGCGGCTGTGTCTGGCGCGGGTGCCAGGCTTTGCCTACGCTTGTGCCCTGGCGGAAGCCTCACTCGCGGCGGAGCTCAGCCGCGCTGTTCCCGGGCCGGACTGTCAACAGGAACAACTGGGAGGGCGTGTTCCGGGGACGGGACGGGGCGAGAGCAAGACGTGTTTATTATGGCCATTTCTTTCCAAAACTCCTTTAGAACTTTTGCTGTGGCTTCAGTGACACCGGTGTTGGAAGGTATCGAAAGGGGAGACCATTCTCCATCGTTCAGAGCCTGATCCCAACGGGGTGTCCACAGTCCAAGGAAAGGGCGCCCCGCCCCCAGGGAAGGGTGCACTTCTAACCCGGTGCCTTACCCCGAAGTTTCCTCCTTTTTCCTGCCTTTGTTGCAAACAGCGACGGAGCCCGAGTAGGTGGGAGCTCACCTTTGGTGTTTATTTTATTACTTTCCACCATTTGTTTAGAAAACATACACAGTCCTCTCTTATCTTTATTCTAGGAGTTTTGAAGGCATTCACAATGGGGCGGGCGGAATGACAGAGCCATCCGTGGCTGTGCTGTTTCTGTGTTTGGGGCAATGATCGGGTTTGGAGACTAGACTGACATTTATGAGGTCTGCGCTTGGGGGACAGGGTGAGGAATGGCTTCTGGGGTCCCCCGACCTGGGGAGGAAAGTGAGCTCGGACAAGGAAGAAATCAGCGAGGTGAAGAAGCATCGATTTGGCCAGGGATAAAAGGCATTCATAGTGTGTCATCCTCCTTGAATGCCACGGGTGGGCAGGACAGGAGGGTGCATGCCTATTTTATGAGGGAGACAAGTCCAAGGAAGGTTGAGGTGGGGTCCCATGGTCACTACAGAGTCTAGGGGAGGCCACTGTGAGATTCCAGGGCCAAGGTGTTCTGTGGCCAAGGAGTGTCGGTTGCTACCAAGGAAGGTATCACCCCGCCTCCATGTCCCACTTTTCCCTTTTCTTACCTAGCTCTTTTCCCCTCCCCAGCTGCAGCAGAGCTCTCCTTACCTGGATCTCAGGTGGGACAAGGTTCTGCTCCACTTGTCACTCCCATCAGGTAGGCTGCTTTCTGCAGGTTTGGAGCCTGAAAAGTTTGGGGCCAAGGGACTGGGAGCATTCTCAGCAGGAAAATCAGTTCTATTTTCAGAATGACTTAGGGCGTTGTCAGGTGAGGAGATGTTTGCAGCCATCTAAGTGGACTTTGGGGAAGGCAGGTCCCTGAGTAAGAATGGTGGGAGGGGGGCCACCTGAAAAGGCACCCCCCCACTAAAATGTAAGCTCCACGAGTGCAGTTTTGATTTTTTTCCCTTCATGGCTGTATTCCCCCATCCTTGCCACATGAATGTGCCATTTGCTGAGGATAAAATCATTGTCTTCAGTTACAATCAGAAATAAAACTGTTCTTTCCTTTTTTCAGTTGATGTTGGTATTATCATTTTTAGCTGTTGTTTTAGAGCTCAGAAATCATTCACCTTTTGCAGCTATAAGAGAAACCAGGAAAGGATGGAGAAAGGCATCCATTCCCTGCATGTCTATCCACAATACCCTCAAGGCTGTGTACAGTTTAAGAGCCCAGACACTGCAAAAAAAGTCACTTGGATTATTGTTTTCCTTCATAACATTTCCCAGAAATGCTTGGAGATTTCTGCTCCCTAGTTCTCCGTCCGTGGGTAGTATGCTATCGATTGGTTAATCAGAGATGCCTGTAGGTGGAGCTGACCAAATAACTGCAGGTAACAAAGACCTGTTAGCTCATTTTCCCCCTTGCCCTTTAATTTCCACAGAGATAAGTGAGTAAACTATGGCAAAGGATCAGTTCACACTTCCATGATCTGGTGGCCTCTATGAAATGGTTTTAGACTAAGGAAGATAATGCATATTTCTCCAGGCACCAAGAACTATCTTAATTAATTATGGAAACTATCTGCAAATTTAAAGCTTTCATAATTTGATAGTGCTTCACTGACCTAGTTCCCAAACACTAATCTGGGAAGGAAATGGTTTCATTTCTAAAATACCTAAGGTGATTTAGTAGACTGGAAGAATAGTAGTAGTCTCCCGGTAGAAATATTGATGTCTTGCTCCATGCATTAGAAGAGCAGCCAGCTTCCCAGCACAAAGGGACTACAGAACTACCTTGATAGCAGCACACACCTGGCCACCTGGACAAAGCTGTGAGTTTTTTCCTGTGTTAACCTCTGCCAGTAGCCATGCTGTTGACCTCTGGATTTAAAGAGAAGGTAAACTTAAAATTGCCTTCCCTAGGTCTCTGGATAAGTCTATAGTTTAGAGCTGTTAAGAATTGAAGAGCCTCATGCATGGAGCACTGGCTAATGTTGAGAGCCCCAGGGCAAAATGGATGCCTTTGAATGCACATAGAGTCTTTCTTGGGGTAGGAGAGGGCCCTGACTTGGGGGCTGGAAGTCAGGTGAAAACAGTACTTTGTCCTCTGTTCTAACCCACATCTTCATAGTTTGACTGATTCTACATGCTGAACACTTTGGAAGATTCCTGCAGAGGTGGAAGGTGGGCATGGGAATAGTTAGACAAAACCTAGGCATTTTTACATATCTATATTTCCATATCTTTCCCAAAATATTTTAATAGGGTTACGCTTATTTGCTTGCACATTTGCCACATTTCTTTGAACAGTTGTCTTCTGGGCCTCTGGCTCATGGGCATGATTTAATCAAAGCATCCCAGGATCTGCCTGGGCATATGGACCAGGTGCGAACCCAAGGCTGTGCTTCCAGTTCCCTTTTAAGAGCCCAGGGATCACAACCAGCTAGAAACCCTTTCAAGAACCCTCCAGGCACCCCTTGAATTAAGGAGTTGTTGGGGTAAATGAATGCTATCTCTAGGCGGTGGGTCCTGGGGAGAGGGAGTGGGAGGGAGCAGGCCTAATAATGGTGGAGAAGAGAGAAAGTAGTGAAAGGCAAATGGGGAAGGGTAAAAGGAGGAGAGAAGATGTGACGATACAACCTCGTTCATCCACTGTACAACGTGTGGTCATTGAGAAAGCTGCCTGATTCAGTGACTCACAGACACAATCCTGCACCCTCTAGCCCTGCGAGTGGGAAGGTCATCAGAGGATGAAAGCCCCAGGCTGGATTTGTCACAGTAAGATGACAGCTTTGATACTGGGTTTGTGGAGTCCATGCCTCAGAGTTGACCAGATCTGAGGGACCTTCGTGGTCCAGTTTAGTCCAGTTTCACTATTATCTGAAGTTCTTCAAATTTTGAGTTTTACAAGTAGAACAAGAAAGATTTAACTTCCCTTTGCAATGAATTACCCAATCTTTTCTTTTTTACTTTGGAGCTGTCACCTTCCACAGTAAATTAAAATCAGACCCTTCCTGATGTTTGTCAAGGGAAGGAAGTCTCTTCTTTCTGTGTGGAGAACTGACTCTCACACTTGAGGAGAGCGCCATTCTCACGCTGCCATACAAACCCAGGCGAAAGAGGGGCAGGTGGCAGAGGAGATCTAGTTGTATCCTTGAATATACAAATATCAAGATGTATCAGCAAGCAAAACAAAATAGAGTCCTTGCAGGGCTTCTGGTCAGCCCTTCTCATGGAACTAGGAAAGGGTCTTGTGTCATGTGTCTTGGCCAGCAGTCCCCAGCAGCTGGGCCACAGTCTAGGTCTGTGCATATGGGGCAGGCATGGGGGTAAACACCAGCATTTAACTCTAGAGAGGGCATTGCCACTCTTTGGGTAGGTGTGGGCTTTGGAGACAGATAGCCTTGGGTTTGTATTTCTGCTCTGTCAGGCAAGTTACTGAACCTCACTTTATCTTTTTAATCTAGAAAAATAACAGTTGTAAGAATTTTAAAAACTGAATTACTAGATTCTAGGCCTTTATTGAATGTTCTTTGGGTCTCCCATTCCCTTTCATACTTGGGAGGTCATCTTGGATGGATACATTGTCTTTGTTAGCCCAGATAGGTAAATTTGCTGGCACTAATCAACCAAGTAAAGTTTCCAGGTGAAAACTGGAAAAGTGAAAAAAATGTTCCTGGGTGAATGGGAAATTTCTTGGGGCTGTTTAATCCTAGTGTATGGCTAATACCTAGCCATGTTGCAGAAAGAAAGAGAAAAGTCGGAAGCCTTTGTTCAATTTTGAACAAGCCCCTTATTCAAAATTGAGGCAGGAGTTGACTGCATAGTCGAGTTATACAGAGGAGGTAAAACCTATGCTAGCAAATCATAC